CAAAAAAATAGTTAATTGATTTACATATTAATTTACTACCACGTCTCCGGATTCGGCGTTGTCGCACCGTACGCTTGGTTTCTAGTAGCCTAAGCAAGCGTTTAGGCAGACCACATCTTCATAGTATTTTAGCATCTGCAGTGCATGCGCTCAAAACAGCGCCATCTTACTGGGTCGGATCATAACATGTTCGATCATCAACGGATATACCGCGATCCACAGGCATCCATAATAGAATCATTGCGTGTATAGTAAAATATTGCCATTTTTGCCGGCGGTATGGGGAATTAGCAGTTTGTTACCAAACCCATGACTCCGAGGTTTATTTTTTATCACATACGCCTACGGATCGAGAAATGTCTTTTGATCTTCGAACATGTTTTTGTTCGATCCAAGAAAGTGGAGTTGGTTTGCGCTGTTTGCGCTCCTATGCCGCAAATGCTAAAATTCCATGTATCAGTGGTATGCTTAAGGGATCCGCTGAGCTCTAGAACGTGAGTATGCTCTCACTTCCAGAGAAGTGACAAATGATTACTGTTTTTGCTGGCGGTATTGAAGACTAACAGTTTGTTGGCAAACCCACCATATTGGGGTTATTTTATAATTCGCATGCCAATTTTAGCTTGTACTCCATTCACGTTATGAAAGATTATTCTCTCATAAATGCTAAAGCTCGTTTGGCTTTGTACTTTGAAAATGCGTCAGGCGTAGATCTAAAAACTTTGAAGCGTACTTTTCCCATACCAATCGGCTTGTTATTCTATGAACAAAATTAGCTTGAATGATGATGTCACACAGTGCATTAAACGCAGTAAATAACCCAAATTGATATTGAGATCCTTATTACCCATTTTTGGTATTACTTCCGGTTCTCCTTCTTAGAATCTCTTTCGCTATCGTTCCCTGGTGACCAGGTATTGTATATTGGCGTTGTTTGGCATGCATTCCTTTGTTTGAAAACAGCCCAAGCCTGTTTGCTACTCTTCCCGTTATGCATTAGTTTAACGCTTTAATTATACCACGTTATATGGGATAAATAGTTTGTGACATTCAACAGGTTACTCTAGACCTTCCGCGTTCATGTGAAAATAAATTTATTTAGAACGGCTTTTGAATTCAGTTGCGTTTCAGATGCGTTCGTTGGAGTTCGTGGTGAGAGCTGGTTGCTATCATCTGATTTCTTGCAGTACATCACGCAGGTAAATGATTCGTACGACTCGCGCATTGTCTGGCTGCCGGACATGGACTACTTCGCGCAGTTGGTCAAGCGTCTCATCGACTGTTTCGCCACGCCGTTTCAGCTGCATGCGTCGTTGCGCAAAAAATGGTGGCGCTTCAGTGAGTTCCCGACCCTGCAGAACCATATCTTGCATGCCATCTGCATCGAGCTTATGTGTCTGCCATGCTCTCCGCCGGACATAGGCAATTCCTTGTTGAATATAATACTGAAATGGTGAGCAGTTTCATTTTAATCCGTACCTTACCAGTGACCTTTTCAGGCATCCGTTGATCAATCGAAACGATATCTATCATTGGCTAAATTGCCTCGGTCTGATTTTTTCTGCTTTGCCAGTAAGAAATTTTTTTTCATACATTCATCAATTTGCACATTTTTTAAGCTCCAATATTCTGAAAGTCTCTACAAGACGATATCATCAACAATTTGTTCGGAAGACTTAGCGAAGATGAACAAAGAACTATTTGAGAAGCTGAATTTTGAAAAGCAATTGCACCTTATCAACGACAACTTACCATCTCGTCTCTTAGCGTTATCCCATGCAATCTGGACTCACTTTCCTCCAGGTTATCTTCAGACTTTACCGCAGTAAGTCACAGAACTAAAATTTCTTTAGTTTGTATTTCAGACTATT